CCTTGGGTTTCTCTGAAGGCCTTGATATGAGGCCACTGGGAAATGAAGCCCCTGGAGCTCACAGGTACCCCAAGGGCCTGACAGCTCTCCTCCAGTGTTCATTGCAGCTTAACAATGGTGGGCTGATGTTGGACCCTCTGCTCCCCAGCTCTTCCCCATTGTCGAGGAGACCATGCTACGGCCCCTCTGGGAGTCTCGAGAACACTATGAGGAGCTGAAGCAGCTGGATGACGCCATGAAGGAGGTAAAGGCAGGGCAGGGGACACAGGCAGGAGAGCCAGGGACTTGCAGCCAGGCAGTACAAAGGATGGGCACAAGAGCCAAGCTCAATGAGACAAGGGGTCTAGATGCTATGCTCTCAAACAACAGAGTCTCTTCCCAGGGACTGTGGTGGGCTATGCTTTCCTTAGAGTCTGCTGGCCAATGAGAGCCAGCACACGACTGTGTGAGCCTGGAGCACAGCACCACCATGCACCACAGCCTCTGCAGTGTCTCTTAGCACCTCCCTGGCACCTCCAGGCCAGTGTGCGGGCTCTGTGAGGGCTGCATTGAAAAAGACGTGAGAACAAAGCAAGCTTCCAAGTCCCTGCTTTCAGACACAGAGTGCACAGGGCAACTCGGCTACTCTTGTGGTTCAGGAGATGGGGATGCTTTAGGGAGCTGGGGATGCTGGATCCCAGGAGAGGATAGGAGCCTCTACAGTCTTAGTGCAGGAACCCCTGTGTAAACATCTCTTTTTCCAGAAGCGCTAGGGACTCAGCCCATATCTCCTGCCTGTTGTGGCTGCCGGGTATAGGCTCTACCCACAACACCCCCTGCTCCTACCAGGACACCCATGTACCCAGAAAAGTTTCCCCACTCCTTGTATACTCTAGACCTCTCCTTGGCCTCTGTGACCTCACCACCCAACCTGTGATGCCTCTCAGTTCCTACTCAGTACCCATGTGCCCAAGCTCCCCAGTAACAAAGGGCTCTACATTCATCTTTTCAGCCTTCTTTCCCAGTTGTGGCCTGGTATTGGTCACATCTCTCTCAGCCACATCTGCCATGCACACCCCCAGTGTACAGTGTCACAGACCTATGGTGAAAGCATGTAGGTTGACCGGAAGCACAGACCAGCAAATCCTGGTACTGCTGCTGGGAAGTCATAAGAAGACAGCTCTGAAATCTAAAAGGCAAAACTGTACATACCAAAGGGCATTCCCAGCCCAGACTCCAATGGGAAGACTTTGGGAACCTCTTGTCACCATGACCATCCCAGTAGCCATCACTCTGGGGGACCTGAGTCTGCAATCCTACATTCCACTGCCCAGTGGGAATGCTAGGCTCTGCAGGATGTCATCATACTAGAGAAGGAGGCATGAAAAAGAAGTGATAGCCCTGAGCCTGAAACAGGAACTCAGCCCCCAGGCCTGGGGCTGTGGGCTGTGGCCAACTTGATCCAGACATTGGTGATCAGGATGATGTCATGGGTCATGAGCAGGTCACAAGCACCCAGGCTATATCTGGAAAATGTGGAAAGCCCATGTATGTGTGGGCAGCTGTGTTTCACATCTGAGTGTCTTCAGGCAGCGGACACCTCCTGAGACAAGAAGCTGCCTGCATTGGTCCACCGCCTCTAGGACTGACTTTGGCCTTTGCTCCCTTAGTTACAGAAGAAGACAGACAGCTTGACATCTGGGGGCACTGAAACTGCCACAGAGAAGAACAGAGATGTGAAAAACAGTGAAGGCCATTCTCCTCCAAACTGATGTCTCAATGTGTACGGTGAGTGGGAGAGCCCTGGAGTGCTGTATGCGGGGAGGGCAGACTCTGTGTGTGTGTGTGTGTGTTCAGTCCCCCACCAGAAACTCAGTCATGGACTGTCCACCCTGATATCTTTTTCTACCCTGAAGGCCTCCCACAGCCTTCCCACAAACACCACAGCTGGGTGCTTTCACCTTTAACCCTCACAGCGGATTGAACATCAGCACACGAGCATTTACAAACTATCCTTTGCCTGCTACACTGACAGGATGAGAGCAGTGTCAAACACAGCATGCAGCCTGCTTTCCAATCTGAGCGACTTTAATCTGTGTATCCTAATTAGAATCTGGGCTCTGATTTGGAAAGGTTCACACTTGGTTTACAGAAAGGATTAATTATTAGAATGTGCGCCACCCATGAGATGAAAAATTCTGTGAAGTGCATCTAGAGTACAGAGGCTTTTAAAAAGCACTTGTTCCCTGTCACCACAAGCATGTCCCCTGACTCCTGCTGACACAGCCCCTCAGCCAGCATAGCCACTCAGCCAGCACATGCTACAGTGCATGCTATGGTACATGCTAACTGCTAACTAAGCACATGGCTAATGAGTGTCCTTCGTGTGAGCCCAGGGTTCATGTGTGGAGTCGGAGAAGCTGAGTTTGAAGGGGAAACAGAAAAGACCTCAGCCCAAGACATGCCTTTAGTAAAACTTTTGCAAGTGACGTCCATGTGTCCCCACCTCTGGGAACCCCCAGGCCTCTCGTCTGTAAGACCAAGGTCACAGTGTCATTATTGGGACTTGAACAGTTGTGTGAACTGCTGTTCCATATTGGGGCATCCAGGAAATCTTGAAGGTCATGGCCTCATTCTTTGTGTGTGTGTGTGTGTGTGTGTGTGTGTGTGTGTTTGCCTGCATGAGTATGTGCACCACATGTGTGCTGAAGTCCACAAAGGCCAGAAGAGGGCATCAGATCCTCTGGAACTAGAGTTACAGATGGTCGTGAGCCTCCTTGTGGGTTCTGGAAACTGAACTCATGTCCTCTGCAAGAGCAGCCAGTGCTCTTAATTACTGAGCCATCTCTACAGCTCCAACCTTATTCTTTTATATTTTATCAAATTTTTAAACTAGTATACGAAGTAATGGTTTGCACCCTGGTGTCTTTTGTCCATTCTCATCCATTCCTGCCCTTCCCCACATCCATTTGTCCTATCAGGCTTGGTCCCCTCATTCCCATTCAGTACACCGTGTGTGTGTGTGTGTGTGTGTGTGTGTGTGTGTGTGTGTGTGTGTGTGTGTGTGTGTTTGCCTGCTTGTGTGTCTGTGCACCACTTGCATGTCTGGTGCCTATAGAGACTCGAAGAGGCAGCTGATCACTTGGAACTGGAGTTACAGACAGTTGTGAACCACGGCTTGGATACTGGGAATTGAACCTGGGTCCTCTGGAAGAGCAGTCATTGCTCTTAACCACTGAATTACCTCTCTAGCCCTTTTGCATATATAATTTTTAATTTTGTATATGTGTGTTGTGTGTGTGTGTGTGTGTGTGTGTACATGAGTGCAGGTGCCATAGAGAACAGAAGAGGGCACTAGACACAGTGCCCCTGGAGTTGCAGGTGGTTGTGGACCCTGAGATTCAAACTTGGGTACTCTGCAACAACATTGCTGGCTCTACCACTCCCCAGCCCAGGTCACATGCATTCTGTCACCACCTCGACTTCCCACTTGGTCCTGTGGCTGTGCCATCTCCAGTCCCCACAGAGACGACATGCCTTCTTTCTCTTTTCCCAGCAGACTGTACTAGTTAAAGCAGCTGAGCTGTGGCCTCTGAGCGGACAGGGCTGGGGACCTCACAGGATTCTCCACACAAGGACGGTCACACCCAGACGACCCCGGATGACCTGCCACAGACCATGTTTTCTAAGAACCGTTTTGTTCACTGATACAAAAACAGGAACTCATGATGCTGTACAGAATTTTTATTTTTAAACTGTCTTTTAAATAATATATTCTTATACAGAAATGGGTCTGTACTTTTTCTTTGGGTTTTGCACTCGGGCTTTCAAGGACTCTCTGGCTTTCCCTGGGATGTGTCTTCAAATGGTTGAACAGTAATGTGACCCAAGGGTTCATGTACAATACACATTAAACATCAGAATGGTGCCCGGGTGCAGGGGCGTGCGTGTGTCCTGTGTTTATGAACAAAGGGTGGGGGACACTTGGGGACATGCGCATTAGTGTGTTTATGACAGGGAAGGCATCAGTGATGTCTACAGGGGCTGGGGAATGAGGCAAGCTGGGAGACTACCCTTGAGAGGTGACATGAGAGGCAGATGCCCCCCTGACCAGTGGGGCATGGTTTTGGGCTGGTTTTGATGGGTAAGTCTTTAGGCACTCAATAATCATCCACGGAAGGAAGGAAGGAAGGAAGGAAGGAAGGAAGGAAGGAAGGAAGGCATCTGAGATTCCTCACCCACACAATTGCAAATCTTGCTGGGTAGAAGAGACTGTTCCCACGGGTATGCATCAAACACGGGAAAAGCCATACATGGGTGCACATGTACCTCTGGCCTGGCTCCCAGCTGATAGCAAGGAAGTTAAGAGAGAAAAGACGTCCAGCATTCAGCAGTTTTATAGACCTGGCAGCTTCCTTCAGGAGCAGGGGGGTGACTTCTGAGGCGGGCAGCAGAGGCAAACAGCGAGGGCTGAACACAAAGCCTCATGCAATAGTTGATAAGGATTTGTGTTCATGAGAACTCAAGGCTTCCTGTTTGGGCTTTTTTCTTTAAACTGACTTAACAACAAAAATCCAAAATGCACCAGATGTTCCAGGGAGCGTGCGGAAGGGGGATGGATGTGTCGAGCAGCAGCTGATTGCTGACTTAGCCTGTGGAGGTGGCTGCTGCTACAGGTGGCAACTGCCTCCCGCATTATTGGAGGTGTGGCCTTGTTGGAGGGCTGTGTGGCCTTGTTGGAGGAAGCATGTCACCGCAGAGTGGGCTTTAAAGTTTCAGAAGCTCAAACCAGACCTAAGGGCTAACTCTCTCTTCCTGCTACCTGGGAATCCAGATTTCCTCTGCCCAAAGCCTGGTCAACAGGGAATCACAGAAGCCTGAGATGGCCTCCTTGTTCCCATGGTAATGCTCCAAGGCCAACACTTTAGGGAGGGGGACATCTCCGAACACTAACTACATCTGGGGGAAGAATCAGGACTTCCAGACCAGTGCAACTTTACATGCCTCCCCATTGTCTCTTGGGAATCCTTGGGGTGTGCCATGCTACTAGGGTTACTAGTAAACAGGCACCTGGGCTGGTCCCTGGTTTGGGTAATAGTGAGTAATCAAGCATCACGTGTTTGTATGGCTGTGCATTGACTTCTCCTGGAGGAAAGCTCAGGAAAGTGTGAGCCTTCTGTTAGGTTGATGTTGTTCTTCTTGTGGGTGGGGACAGACGGGGTGTGCCCATGTCCATGTCCACTTCGGTGCTTTGAATAAGGATGCCCTGCCCCCCGAATCATCTATTTGAATACTTAGTGAAATAGTCTGAGGATAATAAGGATGAGTGGATCTTGTTGGAGAAGGTGTGTCACTGGGGGGGAGGGGTTCTGAGGTTTCAAAAGAACCCTACGCCATTCCCAGTAAGTTCTCTCTGCCCCGGGGATGAAGATATACCCCAGTGCCATGCCTGCCTGCATGTTGCCATGTTCCCTCCCTGCCATGACAGCCATGGACTCGAACCCTCTGAAACTATGACCACAAGTAAATGCTTTCTTTTGTAAATTAATTTGTTCATGGTGTTTTATCACTGCAATAGAATCGTGCGTAAGACATACATCAATCTTGGGAGTCATTTCTCAGGAGCCTGTCCACCTTGTTTTTTGAAACAGTGTCTTAAATCACCCTAGAACTTTCCAAGTTGGCTAGCCAGCAGCTCAGAGACAGAGCCCCAGGGATCTGCCTGTTTCTCTGCCTCCTCGGTGCTGGGATTATAAGTAAGGCCTCCACACCCAGCTTTCCTGTGTGTTCTGGGGATCGAACTCAGAACTTTGTGCTGATAGGGCAAGCACTTTACTGCTGAGCCTTTTATTACCGCTAGTCCTCTGCTGCCTTGCAACCTCAAAATAAAAATGAGTGAGTGTGTGATCCCGTGTGGCCCTGGGGATTGTGTGGCTTGGTTTTTTGTTGATTTGATACAAACTAGGATCATTTGGGAAGAGGAATCCTCAACTGAGGAAAACAAAACAAAACCTGCCTCCATTAGATTGGCTGTAGGCAAGTGTGTGGGGCATTTACTTGATTAATGACCCCTGTGGGAGGGCTCAGCTCAGTGTGGGCTGTGCTACACCTGGGCACGTGGGCCTGGGTAATACAAGAAAACAGGCTGAGCAAACCTCGGGGAACAAGCCAGTGAGCAGTGCTCCTCCATGGCTTCCCCTTCAGCTCCTGCCTCCAGGTTCCTGCCTTGAGTTCCTGTCCTGTCCACCTCAGTGATGGAGTGTGACCTGGAAATGTAAGCCTTTATCCCCAAGTTGCTTTTGTCACAGGGCTTATCACAGCAGTAGGAAGCTGACTAAGACGGGGATGGAACCCAGGGCATCGCATATGCTCCTGGGCAAGACCCAGTCTTTCCGTGGAGTGGTCCCACCTTCTTTTGATCTTCTAAGCAGTATTCTTCAAATAGCAAATATTTTGATTTTTGACCAAGTACAATTTTGTCAGGTTTTCTTTCCCCAAGCTTACTTTTCTTGTCGGGCCTACACATTCTCTGCCTATCCCTCAATGCTGAGTATTTCTTTTGTCTTTTTCCTAAGAGTTTCATGGATTTAGATTTTAGTCTATGATCCTTTAGAGTCAGCTTGTGCTTAGACATCGAGATCCAGCTTGTGTCTGACAGTGGCTTCGGTATCTTTCTTTGAAAAGCTATCTTTCAGCCTGAAGGATATGCGTTTAATCCAGCAGAGTCAGGCAGATCTCAGAATTTGAGGCCTGCCTGGTCTACAGAGAGAGTTCTAGGACAGCCAGGGGTACACAGAGAAACCCTGTTGGGGGAGGGGGGAGTGAGGGGAGGGGAAGAAAAGACAAACTCTTCCTCCAGGAACTGCCTTTATGCCATTCTGAGAAGGGAGTGGAACATAACTGTGGTGTCTGCTTCTGGATTGGTTTTGTTTGTTTGGTTGGTTTTGGTTTTGATTTTTTTGGCTCTATTCGGTTGATCTGTCTACCCTCTACCAGTGTCACAGAGCTTTAATTATAGCACTACAACAGCTCCAATTAGGTAGCCTAGTTGGGCATTGGTGGCACACGCCTTTAATCCCAGCACTCGGGAGACAGAGGCAGGCAGATCTCTGTGAGTTTGAAGCCAGCCTGGTCTCCAGAGTGAGTTCCAGGTCGGGCTCCAAAGCTACACAGAGAAACCCTGTCTCGAAAAACCATTAAAAAAAAAAAAAGCAGGTTGAGCCAAGCCATGTACAACACGCCAGTGAGCAGTCCCTCCATGGCCCTTGCATCAGCTCCTGCCTCCAGGTTCTGCCCAGTTTGAGTTCTTGTCCTGATTTCCTTCAGTGATGAACAGTGATGTGGAAGTGAAAGCCAAATACATCCTTTCCTCCCCAAGTTGCTTTTGGTCATGGTGTTTCATCACAGCAGGAGTAACCCTAAGACAGGGTGTTTTGCCTGCATGTATATCAGTGTACCACATGAGTGCAGTGACTAAAAAAGCCAGAAGAGGGTGCTAGATCTTGTGGAACTGGAGTTAGAGACTTGTGAGCTTTCAGATGAATGTTGCAAATCAAACCCAGATCCTATGGAATTGCTGTCAGTGCTCTTAACCTCCAAGCCATCTCTCCAGTCCCTATTTTAGCTTCTTTACTGTTGTCTCTGTGATAAAATGTTTTAACAAAAGCAACTTTAGATTTTATACTGACTACTACACAGTGAATTTTATAATGACACTCACAGTAAGTAGGTCAAGGCAACAGAAAGCTGAGGCAGCTGGTCATACTGCAGAGGCAGTCGGGGAACAGAGGGTGACGGATACTATGCTCAGTCCAGCCTCCTATTCATTCAGTCCAGGCCCCCAGCTCACGGTGGCACTTGGTACGGTGGCACTTCCCACCTCAGTGAATATAATCAATATAGCCCCTCCCAGGCAAACCTGGGAGTTTGATGTGCGATGCTAGTCTACCCTATCAGGGTAACAGTCAGTATTGACCATTGCAATCTTCCTAGATTTCAGAATTATCTTACCCTCTTTACAAAATTTTGTTGTATGTATTCATAGAAATTGAATTAAATGCAGAGCGATTTGACAACTTTGCAATACTGGATCTCCCGAGCTGCGAACAAGGTTATGTCTCTGCATTTGTTAGGATGTGTCTTTCTTTTGTTGATATTTCTAGTCTTCAGTATGTGAGGCTTGCTCTGTGATTTATACTTACATACTTATGTTTCCTGAGTGATTAAGGCAATTGTCTGCATGCTCATTGCTAGAAACATAACTGATGTGCGTGCATTTATCTGGTGTCCCATGACTTCCCTGAGCTGACTTGTTTGGTTGGTGGGGGGTGGGGGTTGCCTTTGTCATGTTGTCCTGTTTCATAGGGCTTGTAGATTCTTTGGGACTTCCAATGCAGGTGATCAAATCATTGTATTGGTCACTGCTCTGACAAAATAACCCAGAAAAACAATTCAAAGAAGAAGGGTTTACTTGGGCTTACAGTCTGAGGACACAGTGCCATGGCAGGGAAGGCATGTCAGCAGGAGCCTGAGGCAGCTGGTCACAGTCACAGTGCAGCCACAGTCGGGAAGCAGAGAGATGAATGTGGCTGCTTAGCTCTCTGTCTCTGTCTTTGTCCAAGACCCCAAATGGTGCTGCCCACATTCAGGATAGATCTTCCCAGCTCAGTCCTCAAAGACTCATTCAGGATTTGTTTCCTAGGTGATTCTAAACCTTGTCAGGCTGCCGGTGAAGATTAACCTCACCCCTGACCCGTGTGCCTCCCTGTCCTGTTTGTCCTTT